GAGACTAAACCATCACCCTACAAACATTATCTTATAGCTGTGCTTTTACTTGGTTACATGAAATCACTCAGATATATTGAGCCTAGAACTACTTTAGAATTATTTTTATTTGCTCAGAAAGGTTGTAGCATTATGGATTTCTGACAGCAGTGTCGGGCTTAGTTCTTTAAAACGGTATTTTTCATTAATTCTTTCAGAGTTCATTCTGTGAAAATTCAGAATCAGTCAGCCAATTGATGTGGATGTTATTATAATACGTGAAATTCAGTTATTATCCAAAAAAATCCCGCAATTATCAAAGAGTGTTAATGAATAAATTTGCCTAATGAGAAATTGCTTACATCTCACATCGCTATTTCATACAATTGCAGTTTTATTCCAGTATGTATTTCATGAGTTTTCCTTTGTAACATGACAAAAACCTTTCATGATCTCAGCTTGATTTCTAGATCCCACGGTGGAAAACCGTGAAATGGATTACTGACAAAACAAAATCAAAATATAATAAAGTACTGCAGTCAAGGTGAGGTGATTTCATTATTTTTGCAATCCAGCATCATGCATAAGGACAATTTTTTTAATTCAACGAAACATTTTCACTTTTTGTAAAATAAATGCTGCAACCTTTCTAAGCATAATTACAATCCCTTTTTGATTCAGTTTCAGACAGCTTCATTGCTAGTTAGTGGTTTCATAGAAAACCTCAACGTCACTGGGTGTGAAGTGAGTGTTGCCTGTGTAGAATAAGCAGTAGTTACCATAGCTACAGGCAGGTGGAGCTTTGTATGTGTACACATAGAAATAAGCACCACCATAACTTGATGCATGGTTAGATATGTACATGTCATGACCCCCACCAAATGTAGGACCATAACCACTGCCTCTATATATAGCATACTGGTGATTCTGTACAGCTGGTAACTTGATGGGACTGTAACCATGTGTGTTGTACAGTGAGAACAGAAAGGCTTTAGTAGAGTACGCGTAGCTACTCGAACCTGTCACAGTAAATCAATAATTAAATACATATCGTCCTGTCGTTAGTGCATATTTCAAAAGGAAGCCTTGGTTTATTTTTACGACCGATACAACAATAGAATTGATGAAGTGCAGGTCGTTTTTAAGTAAGTAATATCAAGTCCATTAGCAATAAAACATTTCGATTCTACTTCATGCAAGCAGGTGATATGTCAGAATTATTTGTCAATCGCTCCTGTCTGCTTTCGTACGATGAGCCCATTATTTTTATTTATTCGCTTTAATTTTTTATATCCTTTTTTTATTTACCTATTTTATTTTTTACCAACTGTCTCGTGTAAATTTTCACGCGCTGATTTCCTGATTAGAGTATGTCAATAACAGGAGTGATGTATATGTATTGGGATACCTGTGTTAATTAAATGATAAGTTGGAGTTCGACCGAACACTTGTCTGTGGTAAATACACAACATATTGGCGACGAGGAATTTATAACCTAAATTGCAAAATTGTGTTCGAATTGATTCCTACGGAAATAGGAAGCGAAATTTTCTAGATAGTCGTCTAAATTTATTCTGAAATCCAAGAAAAACACACTTGAAATTGCAAAAGCCGGAGTCTACAAGTTACGAGCGCGTGCTTAAAGCAAAGTCTACAAATCGACGAAAAATGTCAGATACAAATCAAGCTGGAGCATCAGCACCACAAATTCCACCACAAATGACAACAATTGTTGGTCAACTGGATAATTTTGATCCGAACAAAGAGAACTGGGAGTGTTACTTTGAAAGATTCGAGCAATTCACTGTTATCAATAACATCGCACCCGAGAGACAAGTGGCGTGTTTACTCGCGATAATTGGTCCAACGACGTATGGCGTTCTACGGAATCTTGTTTACCCGGACAAACCCAAAAATAAATCTCTTAATGACATTTCTAAAGTTCTTCAAGGTGGTTCAGACCTTTGTAACTTACACAAGGGAGGAAGTTAAGCCACTTGGATATATTGACGTAGATGTTAAATATGGAAGTCAGTTACTTACACTGCCTTTGTATGTCATCAAAACTGATTCAGCACCACTGTTTGGACGCGAATGGTTGAAGAATATCCAACTTAACTGGCAACAAATACATAAAATGTCTACTCCTATCGACATTAACCAAATACTACATCGACATGAGAGTCTCTTTGATGATCAACTTGGTAAACTCAATGGAGTTAAAGCTAAATCAAACCTGAAGGACGGAGCGAAACCCCGGGGAAGGGGGGATACTCGACCCCGTTTTGGATATGTTCGTGCCGCCAGCGGTCTAAATCCCTGACCCTGTTTAAAACCCTAAAAAGTAAAAATCCATATCCTGTTCAAGACAAATCGGAAAAATAAGGAATAGCTATCTACGCCGCAACCATCAAAACTGCAAWTATACTGACATCCATCAAAGGCAATAAGAAGTTTTTGATAACACGTTAATTCTGGGACAGTGAAACGGTGTTATGAAAATATTACCCTGTCCAAGACACACAAAAAAATTATATCGGTCTCTTTTATCTAAATGTAGAGCCTGTTTAAGACAATTTCGGGTGAAATGTATACCCTGTTTAAGACAGCAAGGCCAAAAACCATACCCTGGCCAGCGGCATGTCCCCGTATAGCATGTCCCCCGGGAGCGAAACCAACCTTTCATAAAGCAAGGCCTGTGTATTTTGAAAAGAAGAAGAAAGTAAGTGAGAAGCTTGACCAACTAGAGTCCCAAGGAATTATTGAGAAAGTTCAATACATCGAATGGGCTGCCCCCATCGTTGCTGTCGATAAACCTGATGGAGGTGTGAGAATTTGTGGAGATTTCAACGTAACTGTTAATCCTGAATTAGAAGTTGACAAACATCCTCTACCTCGAATTGATGAAATATTTGCTAATCTTGCTGGCGGCGAGAAGTTTTCTAAGCTAGATTTAAGCCATGCCTACCTACAAATGGAAGTTGCTGAAGAGTGTTGTCCACTTCTCACAGTTAATACTCACCAAGGAATTTAACAATACAAACGGTTAGTCTACGGAATAGCATCGGCACCTGCTCTATGGCAAAAGGCAATGGATCAAGTTCTCCAGGGTCTTCCAAGCACCCAATGCTACATTGATGATATAATTATCACTGCAAAGAACGATCAGGAATATTATCAAAATCTTGAAAACGTCTTGTCACGTCTTGAAGAAGCAGGGTTAAAGCTAAACAAAGATAAATGCAAATTCATGAAAGATGAAATTGAGTACTGTGGTCATTTGATTAACAAAGATGGTCTGCGCAAAACACAGAAGAAAATTGAAGCAGTTATTAATGCCCCAAGTCCACAAAATGTCAACCAACTCAGATCGTGGCTTGGATTTGTAAATTACTACCATAAATTCCTGCCAAACCTTGCATCAGAGCTGCAGCCCCTACATACGCTATTAAAACAGGTTACTCCCTGGCACTGGAAAAGTGAGCAGAAAGCAGCATTTACAAAGGTAAAATCCATGGTAGCTTCAGATACAGTACTTACACACTATGATCCTGACAAAGAATTGCGCTTGGCAACCGATGCATCAGCCTATGGTCTTGGATGTGTTTTATCCCATGTCATGCTAGATGGTACTGAGAAACCCATAGCATTCGCCTCACGCACACTAAATGATGCAGAGAAGTTGTACCCTCAGCTACAAAAGGAAGCACTACCCATTGTGTGGGGTGTGAAGAAATTTTAATACTACCTCGAAGGTCGTCGATTTACCTTGCTGACTGACCTTAAGCCACTGACAACCATATTTCATCCTCACAAGGGAATTTCAGCAACAGCATCAGCACGTATTCAACGCTGAGCTCTATTTCTTAGTGGATTCTCTTACAACATAGAGTATAAGAACACTAAGGCTCATGCAAATGCAGACGGATTGTCACGCCTACCATTAAATTGCACCAAAGAAGATAATAATCGAAAAGATCCAGCAGACATGTTTCACTTTAGTCAAATTGACAGACTCCCTGTCACTGTTAAGGAATTACGTAAAGAAACAAGGAACAATACAACACTTGCACAAATGATGCAAGCTACAATGTCTGGATGGCCTACAAAACAACAGCTAAGTCCAGATCTCCTACCGTACTTTCACAAAAGAGAGGAATTAGCAGTCTATGATGGATGTTTGTTGTGGGGATGACGAGTAATCGTACCACCAAAGCTGCAACAACGTGTTCTCGAAGAACTTCACGAGGGCCATGTTGGAATTGTAAAAATGAAAGGTCTTGCACGTAGCTACTTCTGGTGGCCTGGATTAGATTCTCAGATTAAAAACACATGCCGAACCTGTGAAGGCTGTGCTCTGACACAAAGTAATCCTCCTGCTGCACCTGTTCACAGATGGGAATTTCCAGAGAAGCCCTGGTATCGAGTCCATTTAGACTTTGCAACACCCTTCATGAACTCTATGTTTCTAGTAGCAGTTGATGCACATTCAAAGTGGCCTGTAGTACACTTGATGTCATCCACAACGTCTTCTAAGACAATTGATGTGTTGAGAAGCATATTCGCTATTCATGGTCTACCAACTCAAGTTGTTTCTGACAACGGATCACAGTAAGTTTCGGAAGAATTCGAAGCTTTTCTTAAGATGAATGGAATACAACACTTAACTTCTGCACCTTACCACCCAGGACAAACGGGTTGGCTGAACGTTTTGCTAGAACAATGAAAGAAGCTTTGAAGAATGACAAGAACAACACAAGTCTCAGGTACAAAATCTTGACACTTTTCTCTTAAAATATCGAAATTGTCCACATACAACTACTGGAAACTCTCCAGCGATTATGCTTATGGGACATCCTTTACGCTGTCGATTGGACTTGTTGAAACCAGACATAACAAGGAAAGTTGAACGGTCTTATGTAACTACAACATCACCTCAGCAAATGCGTCAATTCCAGATTGGTGATCCTGTACTAGCGAGAAATTATGGAAAAGATGACCCTTGGTCTAAATGTCTTGTCACACAACAGACTGGTCCAATATCGTAAAAAGTTTAAGTTGGTTCTACAACATGACGTCGACACCTTGATCAACTGAGACGATGTGAACTATCAGTTAAGGAAAGCCTTCCTCAAGTTACCACAAGTCTTCCTCAAGCTACTGCAGAACCTGCAAGTTCCTCTGATGAAAACCATCATGAACAAATATTGGATGGTCCATTGACAGTAAATATTCCTAATATGGAAATATCAAAGGAACTTGTTAATAGTCAAGAAAATGGTAAAGATGAGGTTAAGTCTAGTGATGACTCCAACACTCTAACTCAAGCTACAACCATACAGGAACTCCCTAAGACATCCCAGATGGTGTCCAGACCAGTAAGGAACAGAAACCCTCCAGTTTGGATGGAAGATTATATTTCAAAGTAACATGGAACTTGTTGTTTACCAGAAACATCACTGACTATTAACCTTATTTTGAAAGACATTATACAAGAACTTTTTAGTTGTTATTGTACGTTATTGAAGTTTTAGCAGAAAGAAACATAACATAATGTGATTTATAATATCATTATCGTTAATGGTGTACATCTAATCCTAGTGTGAGGGAATGATGTATATGTATTGGGATACCTGTGTTAAATAAATGATAAGTTGGAGTTCGACCAAACACTTGTCTGTGGTAAATACACAACAAGGAGAATGCACACTGTGCTGAAACGATCACGTCTCTCGCGCGCTCATTTGAAAAAATATAATGCTTTCCGCAAATTTTTAGACTTTAAATTGCACTCAATTGTTTTTTGTTGTACGTTCTCTTATTGACACTCTTGACGTCATAAAATGTTTGCAGTGAACCCACGCGCGCAGTAATTGTGTCAATAAGAAGACATACATGGTTAATTTACATTTATTATATACATACTGAGATTTTCTCACATATATTTCTATTTGAAAATCCGTTTCAAAATATTAACTAGCCAATCATAGGAGCGAAACTAATTTCTCTCACGTGCGAAAAGCGTTTCGTCCAATCAGGAAAGACTTGTGAAAACGTACCACGGAATTCAATCAAGAACTTCAAACTTCTTATGACTAGAGACAAGGCATTTTAGAAAGTGAATTGAGAACTAATATTGTGAGGAGAAAAACAGAAATTCAACAGCTAAAACGGCGAGTGATGAAAAGCTAACTCGATGAATTTCCGCCGAGAGAAAAAGTCTTAAGCAAACAAATCCAATTCCAAGAGACCGAAAGCAAATATCTGACATCTCTGCGACTTCATTACAATTGTGAAGCCTAAAGACGATACACTGAAGTTTCTGAACCAGCAGGTCGTTAAGATATATATTTTCAAGTTTTAATCGACATCTAAAAGAATTAATGCAAATATTCCCAGTATATTTCCCAAGACCACAGCGAAAGCTCACTCAGTTCCAGCACAACTTCGATGTTTGAAACTGAAACCCGCGCTTGTCAAGTCAACCACCGTCGCACTGTTCAAAGAAGCTGGATTTTATATGGCAAATTTCTCAGTATTAGATATAAGTCCTAGATGTACTTCATCTTCAACAGAAGTATAGAAAACAGAACACTAATATAAAAATTAGGTAACACCTAATAGCGGAGCTCCAATAGCAATATAGAAGCTGAAAATGATTATCTAGTACTGCTATTTCAAAGGTAGATGCTCTGTTCTAGGGAATGTGAGCTACAACAGTTTTTTTGACATGCGAACAAATATTATAAAGAGTATGTTTATGAGAATTTAGTTCGTACTATTATATTGACTTCGGTAGATTTTGTTCCGTTGGATGAAGTTTAAAATTATAATTAAAAGTAACCTGAAAGCTTCTCGGCAAAAAGTAGTCTACATAAGCTTACAATAATCAACATTGTTTCAATAATCGATGTTTGAACCCAGACTACTCGAACTTCACATATCACAGAAAACTGTATGCAAAAATATATTTTTTACCTTCATTATCGAACTTCCGATAAATTATCGTTCAAAGGTCATCTTCAACAGAGCCATACTTGTTTCAAGCATAAGTTTCATCAATTTATTAAGTCATTCAAGACTGTAGATTCTTTGTTTTAATCTCTCTCAATCTAACTGCTAGAATGGTTTTGGTTTCGAAATGTCCACACTTTTAGTCGACAAAAGAACTTCGCATAGATCCCTGCTTTTTCCCATATTGGTCCATATTATTGAAGTATTTCCAATAAAGTATCATCTCTTTTTGTTGTCGAAATATCAAAGTAAAATCCTTCTTTCTAATATCCCTTTTAAGATGAGCCTAAATTGCTTTTCATCTTCGCAAATCGATTTCCCGGATGTGCGGACGCGTCGAAGTTATGACAAAATTGGCGGGAATATTTCTGTGCTATTATTTCGCTCTTCAGTGGATTTTTTCCTTGTTATTAATTGTTCTAATATTATCAATATGTAATATAAATGTTTAAGGAAAAAAATTCGATTTTTCAACAAATACTTGGCGCTTTGTTTCCTTTTCGAGCGGAGTATGGGTTTCCTGTGGTGGTACAGGGACGTACGCGCGGGAACCCTGTGTCGGTCCATGGAAAATCGACTCGATGGTATACCATTTTTTCTTAGGTATGGTGCTCCGCTCGCGCGGGCCGAAGACCCGCGCGGGAGCTCCGCTATTATATGGATAAAACGCATCCATAAAAGTTGATTTGCGACGACGGCGATAGAAAGTAAACAGTTTCATTGATTAAGGTTTGTAGGCTTGTTGCACTGTCCTCTAATGTAGCTTTTCGTTATTTTTATCATAGTCAGTGAATGAAAATTGACTGTAAACTAAGTTATTGATGTGATTTATTTATAGCGGAGCTCCCGCGCGGGCCGAAGGCCCGCGCGCAGCGGAGCACCATAACTAAGGAAAAATGGTAAACCCATGGGCTTGAGTTTTGATCAACCGACACAGGAAGCCCAGTTGTCCTTCCGTCCGTCCGTGTACCACGCGATTCTGATTGGCTACTTTTGAGAAGGCGGGAAAAGGAAGCGCGCTCGCGTCAGTTTTTGAAAACAACTTTTTCACCACAACGACTCCATATTTTTGTCCTTTCAAATACTTTACTTCTGCGCCAAATGTCGGAAAATCAACGGGTAGCTAACGGAAAGCGATCTTTATCTGAAGAAGAAAAGAAAGAGAGCGTCGAAGAAGTCTAAGTGAAGAACAAAGCAGGCTTGAAAGGGAAAACGTGAGAGACGAAACAATCAAGTTTATTAAGACTCAAGCAAATCGAGAAACAAGTGAACGCCAAAGACAACGATTATTGATGGAGAATTTCTCATAGGAGAACTGACATATTCTCCGACGATACCGTGGCGTTATTAAACAAATGGCGGTATGTTAGATTATATAAGCTTATGTGCAAGCGGTTTTTGGTGCTCAAATTAAGCTTATATCAATTCTTCTACTTCAAGAACCTTTGGCAGTTTTAATCTGGTTTAATTAAATTTTCTTTTGAATTTGAAAATCTTCACCTGATACACTTCAAAACTTCTCAGTTAAATGAGCTTGTTGACAATGAAATTATGTGTGAATTGTGTACACGTACATTCTATCCACAATAATAATCTTCTTTGRCATAAAACTACTCGGATGTTTTAATTTTTAAAACTATGMATTTTGAAAAGAGAGTCTTGATATTATTTGAATSTTCAGATTTTTACTCTTTATTCTTCAATAAACTCTTTAATACAAACTGTCAACAAATACAGAGAGCAAAGATAAGCAAAGAATTTGAAGTGTTGAAAAATTGATAATCATTATGAACATTATGATTCCTTTGTTTACAAACCTGTCAAAATGTATTTATTTTTTATCATTAATAATCACTGTATGTCAAAAATGTATTGATTAATGTCATTCCTGTGTGATTAAATTACTATTACATATGTTCCCTGTGTGATTGAAAAAACACCAAAACTGTCAAATTGCATAAATGACCCATAAATCATTTTTTTGGATCACTGTATGATTGAAAAATATCAACTGCCAAAATGCATTTATTATTATTTATCATTCCTGTGTGATTAAAAAGGATATTACATGGGTGCATGGAAATATTGTGCTAACTCGTGGGATATATAAATTCAAAACTTGAAGATAAAATTCATATCTTCAAGCGACAGCTGTAATGTTCTGTCTATTAAATGACATTGGTGTAAGCAAAAGTCTGTAGTTACATAAACAAGAATATGAATTTATGATTTCTGCATGATTGAATAATGSCAAAACTGTCAAAATGCATTTATATTATTTGATGATTCCTGTAAAGATTGAAGAATACCAACTATTAAGAATTTAAAACAACAAAATTGCAAACAATTTCTATTGACATATAAAGATGCATTTGTTATTATTTCTATTATTTCTGCATGCATGATTGAAAAATTTCAAAACTGTCAAAATGCATTGTTATTATTTTATGATTCCTTTAATGATTGAAAAATACCAAAACTGCCAAAATGCATTTAATATTATTTATAATTCCTATATGATTGAAAAATGTCAAAGTTTCAAAATATATTAAGAATTAATATTAATTTATGATTTCTGTAAGATTATCTAAGGAAGTTTTATTTTGGTAAATAACCACAAGAATTCAAAATAAGTGGTTTTCTTTGCATATAATTATGTATATCACTGCTTTGCATCAACAAAGCTGAAGAGAAAAAGTTTAATAATTATTTAATGTAGTGCCATGGATTTTTTTTTTGTTAGCAAAAATAAATTAGTCTTGACAAAACATGTACTAAAAATCTGACCAATGTGTCTTGCATCACATCTTCATCCAACATGCATATCTTTTGGGAGCTCCGCTATTAGGTTTTACCTAATTTTTATATTAATTATCTAATTCAGCATTTAAATTTTATCGCAGTTTGATCGCAGATAACTTAAAGCGAGTTTGTAAGACAAAACCGTTAAAATTAAAATGCACAAAAGTCGCTCAAGTAGACGCTAGCTATAAAATCTCAGTAAGTATATAATAAACAAACTTCATCATGGAAAGTACTTTTGTACGGGATTTTCGCACTCGTTGGTTTTGAATCTAAAATCTCACTCGTTCGCTACGCTCACTCGTTCGATTTAAGATTCATCACCAACTCGTGCGAAAATYCCGTACGTCAGCACTTTCCATGAAGAAATCTATATTTAATCACTTATGACGGAATAACCACAAAAAATGAATCTTGTCTGAAATAATAGAATTCGCATCGAAATATACTGCCTTCCTGTAAAACCGTTGTCACAGAGAAAGAGAAAACTTGTAGTTTTTTTCATTTTCGCCCTAAGCTTTCCAGCGTCATTTTTCAAATATATATTAAAGTATATTTTCAATGCCTTGCAATAAATAATCCTATTCGTGCATGACAATCACTTACAATCCCATGATACATCAGTATAGCCACCAAAGATGTAACTACCAACACGAACAATGCTAACTGTCGGTCCTTTGTTGTCACACTGGCGGTGGAATGTTGAATCCACATCCCATCCATCGCTAGCAGCTCTCCAACATCTCACCCAACGACTCTTACTTGCATCTTGAAGCACTGGACTCAAGAACCCAGACAAGTCCTGCCAATATTGGTTGCTGCCGTAGTCATGGAGCATAGCTGAATTCCCAAGCCCCCCTTTGTGTGAAAAAAAAAAAAAAACGAAAAAAATTGCATGAATCAAAATTGCATGAATCATGGAAACATAGAAAACAGTGATTGATATCAATTTATCACTTAGAAATACAGAACTTAATGAATGTGTTCACGTTTATCAAATCGAGGAAATACAGTCATTAGTCCCATGACATATCGATTCATCTCTAGTATTATGTCCGGGAACACAGCTGAGTTTAGTTACCTCTTGCTGTAACTTGTTTTGTACTGACCTGAACTTATGGTTGTTTTATTAAATTTCTTTTTTTTTAAGAAAGAAAAATCGATTTCCTTACGTTAAGTTTTTCGCACTCTCACGTCAGGCAATTGAGATATCGCTCGACTTCCGCACGTACTAATACGTGTTTCTCTATGTCAATGTTTTTATCTATAGAATCTATGTTAGTCGAACAGTTATATTTTCGACTTCTTGGCAAATTTCTTACTCAATCACTTGAAATGTTGATTTTTCTAGCAATGTTAATTTAAAAAAATCGATTGACTGACTATTCGAATCATATTTACCAAACATTATACTATAATTAAACATTATATAAAAATTCGTAGATAAGGTTATTTTAAGCAGTGCAGACAACTTTTTGATGCTTAAATATATAAACTGTTATACTCATAATATTTGCTTTCACATGCTACTTTTCGTTCTTATCATTGTTGAAGCATCCTTTTGGCGACCCAAGTAGGTTTTTTTCAATTAGGTGCATTGTATTGTAATTATTGTTTTATACATACGGTATAAGTGTGCGTTACAGACAGACCCGTTGCCATAGTATCCAAGTTTGCATCTGCAGCTATATGACCCCGCAGTGTTTGTACAGCCAATAGCATTTGGACCACAGTCGATTATTGCACACTCGTCGATATCTGATAAGCATACATAAGTGAGATCATCAAATAATAAGTTTCGGTACGACAATAAAGTCGCATATTTGGTTGGAAGGACGCTAATTTTAAAGTGTTGCAGAGTTTGTGAATAGGCTATTGTTTGAAGATGTTTGGGTAATAGAACTCGACTATTGTTAGTGGAAAAATCGGATATGTATGTAATGTAAAATCAATGAATAATAGTACTGCAATAGTCTATTATATGGTTTGCCAGAAGGTCAGATCGCTAAACTGCAATGCGTTTAATATACAGCAGCCAAGTTGATGTTGGGTGTTTGCAAATATTTACTCCATCTTTGATGCAGTTGCATTGGCTTCCCATACACTATTATCGTATTCAGTTTAAAGTACTTCTTATCACATTCAATGCAATCCATGGCTTGGCACCAACTTGTATTTGCAAACTCATTCACGTCAAAGACAAATCGAAATACGGTCTTAGATTAAATGCTGGGTTACTGTTGAGTCTTCCTGCTGGCAAAATGCGTGTGAAACGATGACCACACGATCCTTTCCAATCGCATAACCAACATTATGGAACGATTTACCAATGCCAATTAGAAATATTGAAACATTGACTCTTTTTAAGAAAACGTTGAAAACCCATTGCAATTTGAATTTAAATTTCTATTTTATCTCTTTATTAATTAGGACTTCTTATGTTATCTTGGATTTTATTTCTTATCCATGTATATAGTCTATGCCACATTGTAAATATTACTTAATTGTAACGATTGTAAAACGCTGTTGATCTGGCATTGTTAAATGGCACTATAGAAATTATCGATTTATTATTAAGTATTATTATCATTTGTAACGGCCAATAGTGTCCGTTAGGGCCTGGGACGGGACCCAGCCACATGGTTCAATTTCCTTAAGACATTTAGTTTGTGTATCCGTGTGTAGCCGCAGAAGGGATATGTAAGTTTCCTCTCGTTTTTCCCTTTAATTACACATATATTAGTCTAACATTAGCCTTTGTTTTATTCACAGCTGTGAGCCAATTTTGTCATATTTATTACAGCTTTTTTACCTATCGATGTACTTAGTTTAAAGATGTGATTGAACTGTTTAAATCGAGTATTACAGCGAATTTTGCGTCTACATTTCGTTCACAAATTTCCAAGGATTCCAAGGACTTTAATTATTTCAAGGCAAGATGTGTGTATTCGAATTTGCCGTGGTTTTTGAGACTTCAAGCCCGCGAAAGTTTTGTATTGTTTATTGCTAATCGACTGGATTGCGACATGGCGGAGTGTGCAAGTACAGACAGGAAAGATAACAATCTAAAGGACAACAACAAACGAAGTCCTATGCCAACAGAAAGTGCTCAAATGGATTCATATCGAACATTAAAGTCCTACTTGCATGGAAATAGCCTTATTTCAAAACTTCAATCATTACAAATATATGACTCATTTATATCTATTAAAAACAATTGCGGGAAAATATTTGTTTTGGAATTATCAGAAAAATTTTAATTCAAAAGATGGAAGAACAAAAGGATGGAGTAAATGACGTCATCTACTCCTACATTTTTTGACCAAATTATTAAGGATTTGTATCAATATCTTCTTGAAATCTGTTGCTTCATTATTATTTGACCCATATGGATAGTTCTATTTGATTTCCAAGTCTTTTCTAATGTTTCGCAATTTTCATACAAGTAGCCCATTAAAAAATAAAAGAACAGCAGCTCTATCTGCTACATCAAAAATGAGGAATAAGTTAACATCACTTATGACCCACAAGCAAACCGCACAACTGGATTTTAGAAACCAAGTCGTCCAATGGATAGAAACATCATAGCGGCGATTATCTGATCGCCTCGACTGTGACAGTATAAGGTCTGGCTCGGTCGCATCAAAGGCTTCGCGTCGATCGTCTCGTGGTGCTTCTCTGCGATCAGTAACATCAGCAAGAGAAAAGGAACGACTAAAATCAGCAGAAATGATGGCTGAAAGATCTTTGCTAAAACAACAACAAGAGCTTGAAAAGCGTAAACTCGAGGTAAACGCCGCTGACGAAGAACTAGAACTAGAAAAAAGTATTGCAAAATCGCGTGAACGATCAGAGGTTTACGCAACAATGATAGAAGAGGAACTTGGCATGACACCGTTAATGAAATCTACACCTTTACAAGCTTAATAATACAAACACACTGGACATTTTCCCAATAGATGTACCACAGAGTTACGTTTCTACGGAACGCAACGAGCAACTTGACACAGAAGGAAGGATCAACACGGCGATTCATGTTTCTACGGAACGTAACGAACAGCATGATGACAACGGATCCATGTGCTACGACGCTACAACAGAACGCAACGAGCAACGTGACACAGAAGGAAAACGATTCATGTTTCTACGGAACGTAACGAACAACGTAATATCAACGTACACAGGGTACCCAATATTAGAGCGGAACGTATCCAAAAGAGAGACAGTGAACTATGTAATCTAAACAAGTCTACGTGTTTCAAATCTACAAAAGAACGCAACGCGCCGCGTGACGACGTACTACAAAGTTCAGACAAATATAAAGAACGCTGTGAAAAATACGGAAAGAGAGCTTCTATTCAAGCCAAAGAAACAAACTCTGTTGTACACTTTACAACGGACAATATGTGCTCTACAGCACCCGACACATCGTCTTTCACTGAACAGATGTTTAGTAGTTTACTGACCACTCAGCTCGAGCAGCATAAGGAAATGCTTTCTTCGCATCAAGAAATGGCCGCAGCAATGAGGTTACCACAACCAAAGGTCCCGGTGTTGTTTAAAGTAGATGTCGTCATCGAATATCGAGCGTTTATAATGGCATTCGACTCACGCACCAAATCAAAGACATCCAGCAACGCCGATCTTCTGTACTACCTCTACCAACATCTTGTAGGAGAACCCAGTGATTTGATCGAAGGCTGTCTTCACCTTGATACAAATGATGGTTATGATGAGGCAAGACAGCTACTTGTTAAGGAATTTGGAGATGCCTACAAAGTGTCGATGGCGTACACAACCCAGCTACGACAGTGGCCATCTGTCAAGTACGACGACGCTGTTGCCCTAAAGAAATGTGAAAAAATGTGAAAATGCTATGAAGAGTATGTCCTACATGGAGATCCTCAACCACGCGCCTTATCTGCAGTCTATTGTGCAAAAGTTGCCTCCATATCTACAAAGTAAATGGAGAGACAGGGTTCTTAGCATAAGACAGAGGTGTGCCAAGTTCTCGGACTTAGCAAGCATTATTGAACAGTCAGCTGAAACGAGCAATGACCCAGTCCATAGCAAAGAAGCCTTGCTCAAACTTGATGAGAAGTCAAAGAATTCTCCAGAACATGTTCCCGCTAAAAAGGCAGCACTTCATAGTAGTAGAACCCGCATCGCAAAAAGCTTTGCCACATCTCCATGCACTTCTAGTAACAGCGAACACGGAGCCGGGTCAGCAGATCAGACAAAGCGTTACAAATGTTCTCTATGCGAGAAATTTCACGATTTAGGAGAATGCCTGGACTTTCTAAAGAAAACTTTAGAAGAAAGAAAGAAGTTTCTCTCAGAAAGCCATTTATGCTTTGCCTGTTACGGAATGAATCATCAATCTAAAGGCTGCACAAATCAAAAGACTTGCAAGGAGTGTAACAAATCGCATCCTACCACCCTCCACATCGATGACTTTAATGCAAGGGAGCACCTGAGCAACAGCAAGCAAGGAAAGAGTAAAGAACACATCACAAGTGTTAGTAGCACCTGCACAGATATAAATGATAGACAATCGCTTGTTCTGCAAGCGATTCTTCCAGTCAAAGTAACGAGTGAAAACGGAAAAACTGTTATTACGTATGTGCTTTATAAGATTCCTAAGCTTATGCCTGACCTGGAGATTGGCGTTCTTGTCGGAAGTGATTGCCCTCTTGCCCTAGAGCCACTCGAAGTGATGCCAAGCGGAGGTACAGGACCATTTGCCATGTGCTTGAGGCAGGGATGGACGTTGAACGGTCCAGTGCATTTTAGCTTGCAGTCAAACAACGTCTGTCATACAAACGTGATAACTATTAAAGAGCACGAATCTTCGAAAGAAATCATGGCTCCACAAGCGATTCTATGTATGTTCGAACTTGACTTCAATGATCTTGGAACCAGTTCTGATGCCCCCAGTCTCTCAAAGGAAGATGAGAAGTTCATGAAGATAGTTTCTGAAGGTATTCGTCTCACCAATGGGCATTACGAGGTACCTCTACCATTTAGAGACCCCAAGGAAGTACTTCCAAATAACAGATAACAAGCAGTGAAGCGTGCAAACTGGCAACGAAAAAAGATGTTTCGCAATGAACAGTATCGTATCGACTACACCACCTTTTTTAACGACACAATTAACAAAGGCTACGAAAGCAAGGTTCCCGAAAGTCAAGTCTGCATTGAAGAAGGGAAGGTATGCTCCATACCGCATCACGGTGTGTATCACAAAATAAAACCAAATAAGATACGGGTCTTCCTTGACTGTAGTGCTAAATACGAAGGCATATCCCTCAATGACACCCTGCTGAAAGGGCCGAACCTTACTAATTCGTTAGTAGGTGTTCAAAGCCGTTTCAGAAAGGAACCTGTAGCCTTTATGTCGGATATAGAGCAAATGTTCTATCAAGTGAAGGTACCAGAGAACCAACGCAACTATCTCAGTTTTCTCTGGTGGCCAGGTGGTGACCTGAGGACAGAATTACAAGAGTTCCAGATGAACGTTCATTTGTTTTGAGGAGTATCATCGCCTAGTTGCGCCAAATTCGCGCTCAGAAGTGCGTGTAGTGACAACGAAACTGAACAGGACTCACAAGGCATAAATACAATAAGGAACAACTACGTTGACGCCTGTCTGCGATCAGTCGAAGACAAGTCCTCGGCCATAGAGCAAGTAAAGAATGTAAAACAAATCTGTGCCAAGGGAGGCTTTAACCTCACTAAGTTTGTCTGCAACGATCGAG